TCATAAAAGAAAACCAGTAGATAGTAGAGGAAGTGAAAGAAAAAATAATAAAATGGAAGAAAACTAGAAGATGAAGAAGACAAAGTTGAAAAAGGTAAATATGATGAAAAAACAAAGACAAATCAGATGAATAAGAAGTAAAAAAAATGAAGACAATAAAGAAGAACAATTTGAAAACAAATAACGATAAAAAAGAACTCAAAATATAAGGAAAAAACTAAAAAAAAAAGAAAATATAAACCATGAGAGGAGTAAAAAGACAGATAAGACAAAGATCTTTAAAATATGATGAAGAATTTGGAGAGAGGAAAAATAATTGGAAGAAGAGGAATAAGAATCTGTTGAAGGAGAAAAAAAATAAATTAGAAGACAAAGTAGAAGAAGAGATAGGAAAGAGAAAAAATTGGATGAAAACCTTAAAAGATAAGGAATTGGAGAAAGTAGAAGAATATGAAGATGAGGTAAAAGCCGAAAATACCAGAAGAATAGTAAGTCGGTGATAACGAAGAAGACGATGACAATGAAAAAGGAAAAGAAAAAAAGAAGAAGAAATAGAATAATAAAACATTGAAGAAGAAGAAAAAAGGGAATAAAACCTGGAAGATAAGAAAATCAAAAGATGTATGAGAGGAAAAAGGAAAAGATGTGGAGAAGAAGAAGACGTGAAAAAGAAAAACCAGCAGAATAAAAAGTAAAAAAAAAAAGACATAGAAAATAAAGAAGAAAAAAAACAAAAAAAGAAAAAAAGAAAGAAAGAAGAAAATGATAGAGAAAAAAAAATTAAAAGATAAAAAGAGAAAAAGATGAATAATTTATATTAATCTTATTTTAATTTGTGTTTATTGATTTCATACACTTATTAGTATTGATTTTAAAGTTTTTAATGTTAGACAATGATTACTTTTATAGGTTAGCTTTATTTTAATTTTGTATATATCAAATTCTTGATCTAATTATTTTTGATTTATGACATAAAATTTTATTTTAGGTTTTAATGAAACTTTTCGGTCCGCGCAAGTCGCGGACTAAACACCTAGTTTGATAGAAAACGTAATCAAGGAAAGTGGATAAGCTTATGGGACATTTAGCCCAAAGAAAAAGAAAAGAAAAAACGGGCTCCTTTTATTCATTCGTCTCCTCTAAAATCTTCTTAATGTCTTGACGGCATTATTTCCTGAGCACAAATTTATCTCTTCTGTTTCTGGTTTCAGACCAAGAGGACGAAGAAGGCTGGCATTGTCGGGAAATATGGTGAGTGCCCACAAGTCTAAAATCGATATTATGATGCAAATAATGGTTTTTTCGTGTGAATCATTATGATTCATGATGCTTATTAAACTACTCTAGATGAATACGATCCCTATATAGATTGGAACCATTATGTAGGTTTGTTTCTGAATCTGTTCATTTTTGTGTATGTACAGGGACCAGATATGGTGCCAGTCTTAGGTAGCAAATCAAGAAGATGGAAGTGAGTCAGCACAGCAAATACTTCTGCGAGTTTTGTGGCAAGGTATACAATAATCTTAGCTTTACATCCCATAATTAGCCAAGCAAGCTCTTGTTTTTTTCTTTTACCATTGTTCCTAAATGCTTTTTTTCCTGATGCAGTATGCTGTTAAGAGGAAGGCTGTTGGAATTTGAGGATGTAAGGACTGTGGTAAAGTTAAGGCTGGAGGTGCCTACACTATGAATACGGCTAGTGCTGTGACTGTGAGGAGTACCATCAGGAGGCTTAAAGAGCAAACCGAGAGCTAGACTGCAAGACCAGATTCAAGATTTTGCCACCTTCTGTTATAAAAATGATTGACCAGATTTCTACTTGCTTAATGAAGTTTGGGATTTTGGCTACATGTCTAAGATTATGTGTAATGCCAGTTTCATTTCATGAAGCAGACCCAACAGTTTTGTTGATTTACAAAGATATCTTTTGTTTTGTTATCTCTAAAAGAACTAATATCTACAGTTTAAAACTAGCTTAATAGAAAAAAAGAGAGGAAGACTTAACCATCTCGATCGATAGAAAGATCTTTTGATGACCTATGAGATCCTAACATTTGTTTCCAGGATCGCTACTACTCATGTGAAAGGTTTGTTTTTGATTGTACAGCCTTCACAGCTGCGACTCTGGCGGCATTCGCAGCTCTGTTTGCAGCCATCACCACTCTGTTGATTCTCTCTTCCACTTTCACAACTTCGCGTGCTTTCTCTGCTGCTTTCCTTGCTTGCTGATGAACCAATGCAAAAGAGAGAACAAGTTGGTCATCTTATTCTGTAAACACAGATTTCACAAAGTATATATGATGTTTGCAGCACTGAAGATAAAATCTACTAGTTTACTTACATCAACAGCATCGATAACTCTGGAATGGCTGATTGTAAAAGATGATCCAGGACGGATGGTCTGCTCGCTAGCACAACTGAGAACACCGTCTTCCCAGTGACCAGCCTGTGTCTCACCATTCCTGAAAGTGTACATACCGAGCCCTTGTCTTCTTCCCTCGTGCCAAGCTCCTTCATACTTATGCCCGTTTTCAAATTGATACACTCCGAAACCGTGCATCTTGTCTGCATAATACTCCCCACCATATGCATCACCATTTCTGCAACAGAGGCATAACTCCAAGTCAATATAGTTTTAAACGCCATGATACCGCTAGACCACACTTGAGCAAGTAACGTTTTATGCAATTCCCTAAGATCGATGCTAATAGCAGCAACAAAAAAGTCTGAACTTTGATGTTCGCTAGATTTGTTTGAAAGGTGAGGACAACCATGACAAGCAGGAAACAGAACCCAATTACTCATCAAATGTAAGAAACAGAAATTGAAGCCTTTGAAAGGTCCTCCAGATTCACTATTGATCCAAAGGTAAAGAACGACCACAATAGAAGGTGAAGGCAACCTCACGACCCTTCAAAATCTATGGAGCTCAAGCTCGAACTCACTCAGATGAGCAATATATACAAGGGTCTAATACAATTAACTCTCTGTCAGAAACGCGAACTTGCAAATCAACAGCATGCGAATAAAACACCATCACAGGTCAAAGCACAACCATATTCCAGAAACTCAAATGACTGTGCAGAGTAAAAGCCAATGAAGAAGAGCACGAAAGTATGCATAAAGTAGAAAAGACTAATGCTTTCACCTGAAATAATAACGACCAAGGCCATGTTTGGCACCCCGTTTGAACTCTCCAACATATCTACTTCCATCCTCAGAGGTATATACACCACACCCATGGCACTGCCCATTGGACCACTCACCAGCATATTCATCTCCTGTATAAAACCTATAGACTCCGATTCCATGTCTTAGCCCTAGCCTGTATTGACCTCGGTACCTACTTCCTTTAGCCCATGTCTCTACTCCATAACCATCATACTTCCCATCAATCCACTCTCCTTCGTATCTGCCTTTCAAGGAATAGTAATAAACTCCACTGCCTGAACACTTCCCTCTATGAAACTCTCCCTCATACACATCACTGGTGCCAAACTTCTGAACCCAAGAGCCTGAGCTGGTCTTATTCTCCGCAACTGGCTTCGAGCCGATGGACCAAACAACTTGCTTTGAGCTTGCTTGAGAGGAAGAGGATCTGGTAGGGATAAGGGTCAGCAAGCGAGCGAGAAACAGGCGGATTGAGGGTAAGTGAGGAAGAGCGAATCTGAGAGAGAGCGAGAGGATGAAGGAGAGAGCGATAATCGCGAAGAGTGAAAGAAGAAAGATTCGAAAGTTGATTACAAGGAAGAAGATGTATAAAGGAGGGACGGCGAGAAGCAGCAAGAAACGAAGATGGAAACAAATCAAACGGGCTCGAAGGATATGGCGGAGGAGCTTCCTCACGAACCGATCAGTCACGAACGGTAGCGTAAGCCGATACGAAGAAAGAAAAGACAAAAGATTCCACGGGAAAAAGGAAGGAATCGAGCCCAAACGTGCTCTGGCGCCTCCTCGTCGGAAATGGTCAACGCCGGCGGCGCGATTAAACGTATGAGACGGTTGATTCACCACGGACCTTTTGTGCGGAGTCGAGATTGGGATTTGAGACGACGAATCGGGGATATCAACTGTGAGATGATCCTGACGATGCGGATGGTTATAAACAGTGAAGCCAGCGCCTGCATCAATGGCGGTTCGACATTGGGGATTATCTGGGCTCTGAAGTTGGAGAGGAAAATGATGATGGTGAATCGGATTAGGTATAGAGTTCGGATCGGAATCGGAGGAGAAATAACCGGTGGCTTCTTTCCCGGTTAATCGTCGTTCTGTTACAGATGATTTCTTCAGATGCATTTACATAAAGATTATGGAACTTGGAAGAGGAAGAAGGAAAATATTGAGAGGAAATGCTCGGGTAATTTAGGTTTCTTGAAAATTAGGGTTCTCTCAAATCAAAGCCTCTGGTTTTTGTTCCTCTAACTGCTTCGAGTTTTCACAAAGAAGAAGAAGAAGAGCTCAATTTTGAACTTTTGAAAACTAAGAGGTAGACACCCCTAAGAGAACAGAATAAACCTCTGATTTCTAATTATTTACTAATATACCATCCATTGCCACTTGTTGACCGCCTTGAGAGCAGCTCCATCAGTGTAACTCAATATAGGTCTCTTAGGAATTCTTTATTAATTTTTTTGAGAAGTTGATTTGGGTTAAGAGATTTATGTTATTTTGTTCTCCATTAGTGAACCCTTTCCATTTTGCATTACCAGATTACATCACACAGATGCAACTATTGCTGAAAGAAAATATGAATCAGATGCCCTTACGCTGGTTTGCATAATTTCATTAAGCATTAGAAAGAAACAAATCCGTTTTAAACATGTTCCGACTAATGTTAATGACAAATTGACAATGCTTGAATCAGAAAACCACAAAGCAAAAAAACCTACTTTTAATAAATACATATAAGATTAAAACAAAATAAGTCGACTTGCCTGAAAATCTTCGTCGGTGGCGAGCGAATAGAAAGCCGTTTCGAGTTCGGAGAGGGCATGCATAAGGGTCTCAAGAACGTACTTCCCGTGAAACTTTCCGAACCGACCGAACGAATCGAGTCGTTGCCACATGGTCGAATCAGATCAAGCGGCCTTTGTCTTCTCCGCCTCCTCTATGCGAACAGCTGGGTCCTTTGAGATGGTGCAGGAGATAGAGAACGACGAAGACAACCGTGAGCAAGATGATGGCAGAAGCGTAAATTGGGGGATTTTGACAAAATTAAAATTGAAAGACCAATCACCTTCCTCCACGTCGCCAAAGAGACTGTCTCTTGCACCTCTTGGCTAAGGATTGATCCGTCAAAATTTTTGGATTTTCCATTTAAATTTAATTGATTTTGCCTAGGAAACTGGACTGAAAAGTGGGTACGAAACTCTGATGGAGCTGGTCTGACAATTTAATTATTAGTTTTTCTTTTGTTTGTAAATGACAATTTTTCTTTATCATTAAAAAATTTCTCTAGTTATTAATAGTATGTAATTTATTCTCTTAGATCCAATCACATACAAACTAATTGCAAAATTTTCAGGCGATTTCAAATTAGTGGAGTTTTATTAAATGGATTATTTTTTTCTGAATTTAATTTATTTGGTCGTTTGGTTAAGTAACAACCAATAATTGTATGAAAAGTTTAGCGAGTTGTTATTATAATTGTGAGATTACTTCCAAAAATTAAAATTCAGTGAATCCCCTTGAAAATTTGTAAAACAGATAATCAAATCAAACACAAATCTACTCTTTTAAGGAGTTGTTTGAGATTGATAAAGAAAAAAAAGTTGTCTGAGATGAAAGACACGTTTAACAAATAAGAAATATACATAAAATAAAAGACAAGTTTAAGAAGGTTCTTTAAAGCAACATTCATTTTTTTATTGGAAATTTCTCTTTATTAATCAATAATTCAATACACAAGAACCCCTAGATTGAACTACCAATTTCGAAATCTTTTAATGATTTACATATTTTTGTTGTTGTTAAAGAGTCTTTTAATGATTTAGTATAGAGCCAACACTAGATGATTATATAAAGGAATTCAAACTCATACACCATTTGTTATTTAAACCGTGATCGAACAGAAATGAAACATGTAGTTTAAATTTCTTGGCTTTTTTCGTATGTTTTGTTATCAATAAACATGCAATGGTCGAGTATGATGACACAATAACTAACAGCTCAAAATCTTGAGATGTGGCTCTGATAAGAATGATATAAGTGCGGTCATGGAAAATTAGAGACTACCACAAGGCCAGGCCAGCCAATCCCTAAAAATCTCAATGAACGGATAAGTGTTAAAAGGCTTTTCACTTCATTTATTATTATCCAAAGTTTTCATGGTCAGCCATACGACACACATCGTGTTCCTATGTACACAATTGTTATCTCTATCCTATTTCTATATGTATATCCTAACTCAAAGAGTAATCTTATGGATCCTCAAAAAAAAAACCATTATTATATGTAAAAAGCTAAAGAACAATGTGGAATGATTTTGGAATCAGCAGTAAAGTGTGATAAGTAACAAATAGTGGATCCCACAACTAAAATCAAGCAGCTGCGCATTTCAGCCAATCTTGGAATGGTAACAATAATACATTTCAAATCAAACCAAGCCTGAGATGAGTTTTGGACAAACAAACAACAAACACGAGAGCTAAGCTAATTTTCTGCTCTTAGCGATCACCAAGATACATCAGCATTCATATTTTTTTTTTGTATCCTCCACATCATCAATGAATAAGTGGATGAAGATAGATTGAGATCATGGATTTGGTTCAGACAAAGCATTCCCTAGGTTTCTGTAGTTTCAGGTGCACATATGTCATAAGTAATACTTTTGGGAATGTTTTGTTCTAGATGACGGAACACACAAACACACACAATAGTTGCAATACAAAGAAATCCGGTTTATGTAAAAAATAACTATGAAAGACTTGGCGCATGGTGAGTTTCAGGGAAAATTACAACAAGAGTTGAACAATGCAGCTAAACTACACCGCACCAACTGACCATAGGAGAAAGACTAACACCTAGTGTCACACTTTGTACTGTCTTCTTGTGCTGGCTATTACTAATTCACTGAAAATCGAATGAAAGAAGAAGAAGAAGAATACAACAGGCAACATCAGCTTATCAGTAGAGCCTACCAGTGCACTCGGAGGAGCCACAATAGCAATTTTTCTTCCTGATATTACCATTAAGATCCCGTACCTGATCGAGCTTATAGTTGTAATGGTACGAGAGTTCTTCAAGTGGAGGTATATTGTCCATTGCAAATAACATCACGTGAGGGATTCTCGTATCCTCATGGTCGTACAACACGTCCTGTGCGTACAGATTCGGCGAGCAGCTATGGTTTATAAACCTCCCTATGTTCCCTTTCCGTGCAGCGTCTATGGTGAACCCGGTCATCTCATGGTCCTTGCCGATGTCAAAGAGATACTCGTCTTTCCCTGAAAGTCTTTCAGCTTCTTTTTCCTGTAGAAGCTCTCCTGCATACTCACAGATGAAGCTTCCGATAGGAATCGAGTCTAAAGATCTCACTCCCCAGCCTCTTGACTCGGTTTTGAAGATCTCAAGCTGGAATCTGATCCCGCTTTGTGTGACTCGGAGGTAGCAATCAGGAGGGCATTTGCAGAGTGGGCCACACTCATAGACCAGTGGCTTTGCATTAACAATGCCTCCATCGTAATTGTACGGTAACTCTCCCCCGTTTCTTGAAACGCATGCACATTTTCTTGACTCGGTGCAGCGTTTTTGGCAACCGCAACCCTTTGGAGGAATTGGCCGGCACCAATCCGGATATATCATTTTCACCGTGTAGATAAACGGAGGTGGTTTCTCGTCATCTACATCGTTCACAGCGCAAATGGGTAATCTCTCTTTACCTTTTGAGATATCATCACAGCAAAGACCGTCCCGGACTCTAGATGTCTTTGTCTTCTTCAGCACTCTCCAGGATAGCTCTGGTTGTCCAGGAATACGTCGCAGTTTGAACTTGAAGATGAGCTTACCATGAGAACCGGTTTCTTTCCAGAACTCTTCCACTACATATAACCCATCGTAAACATAGTTTCTTGCAACATCTGATGATTCTAAGGCTGTCTTTTGGTTGCCTCTTACGACCCGCACAGGGTTCTTTTTGTCTTTACTGTTTGCCAATGCGAGGTTTCCTTTTACAAGCTGTTGGTCTTTGGGTTGATTGTTTTTCTTCCCCCTTTTAATCACATTTCCACCTTGACCCGTGTAGATCAAGACATCTGATTTATCAAGCTCGTCATCATAACCTCCAGAGGCTACAATACTCGTGGCAACTAGTTCCTCGTGGTCGTCTTTCATAAAATCGATACCGCCTTGAGTTGGTCTATGTATACCAAGAATGTTCAGCTCCATTCTGTATTGAAATTCATCGCCAACCTCAACACCAGGGACAGGTCCCATAATGTGAGTACCATTGTTAAAATATTTCCCTTCACTCTTAAGTTTCTTTGAAGCCTCGAAATCCACTCTGAACTTGCTACCGTTTCTTTCCCTAGGCCTTGCTTCTTCCTCCTGCAGAATCTTTCTACAAAGTCCATTAAAAAGACGTAGAGTTTCCTTAACTTTGTGCCTAGCACTATCACCGCTGCTTGTATCACTAGGACGAGAAGGAGGAAGCCCACAACCGTAATCTCCATTCATCTTCTTGGAAAGCTTCAAGGGTGAAGGCTTTACAACGCTGCTCCTAGAAACTCTTCTGCTTGCATCCACATTTGGTTTTGAAACTGTAACCTTTGACTTCTCAAGTTCCAATGGCTCAAAAATATCTGGTGATATGCTCTTTTTAGCAAGAGATTGACCCAAATGGTCTCCAGAATCATTCTTCTCCAGAACCAAGTTTTTGTCTTCCATCGATACAGCATCCTTCATGGTCTTTCCATTCTCTGAAAACTTGCTCTCTGTATTGGGAGGGATGTCTCTTACTATACTAATCTTCCTTCCCCGAAGCTGCTTTGTCCCAACGATGCTTCGCCTGCAAACAGACCCTACCACCTCGTCTTTTGATGCAAAAACAAATTTTTCATCTTCATCCCGCAAGCAATTGCTCACAGGCTTTTCATCAACGGATTTCAAGTGATGTCGCTCTCCAACGTTTTCTCCAGGAATCAACTCAACCCTAGCTTCAGAAGACGGAACACAGTCGTCGCCAGCAAGATTCATGTTCTTGCAATTCTCAGTTGGAACTTTCTTTAGCACTGTTCTTGATCTGAGCCTCAAGGAACTTGTTCCACAATCAGTTGTATACTCACTCACTGCTGCTTCAAGCTTAAACCGCTTGGACTTGCGCCTCCCTCTAGGATCGGTGTAACTACCATTCCGCAACTCTGTTGTTGCTAGTTTCTTCTCAGAAAAAGAACTAAACTTTGATGAAGACTTGGTGTCCATTCCTACTCATGTAACAGAAGATAGAAGAAGAAGAAGAAGAATATAAACTACAAAACACCAGTCTAAAGTAGTTGTAACAAGCATAGCTTATAAACGCCATTTAAACAAAATTGTTGCGATGAATTGAATTGAAAATCCTCCGCATTGCATGTTTATCCCCAAATCTCGAAATTATAACTACATTGTTCGATAAACGCTGTAAAAGAGACGATTGAAAGTATCAATCTTGCGTCTCGGAGAAGAAGAAAAACAGATCTTACCAGGACAAATCATGAATCGATTAGCTTTGGAAGAGCGGGAGAAATTGAGTCGCTAACTCAAATTGGGTAATTTGGCATTTGCTGGAAACAGAACAAAACAACTTTAATTATCTTTTTTGTCAAAGATTAATTTTTTATACATCACTCTGTATTCTTACCACAGCATCTCCGGCCACATTGTCTCTGCAACTCGAATTCTGCTATCAGCTATGGGAACTGTAAGCTTATTGTCACAAAAGCTGTTTTAATTCTATATTTTAGGGTGTTGAACGTGAATAATCAATTAAAATTAAAAGGGACAATTCGGTAATCTTATTAACTTCAGGAATGAGTACAAAGGTGCCCAAGTCGGGAATCAATACATGTCAAACGAGCTAGCTACTGTTCATCCCCGGAGGTCTCTGGAGCTCCCTTTTGCGGATCTCATCTATTTATACTGTTATGTAGTGAGGAGCTCCTAGGTTTAGCTTCCTCGCGCACCGACTTAGCTTGTTGGGCCTTTTTCTGAAATTGAGTCCGCATAATCAGGTCGAATCCATCTCCGATATAAACCGTCATAAATCAGATTTAATTGGGCGATCTGGATTTATACTAGGTCAAACCGGATTACAGAACATACCACCAATATAGAATTTTAAAAGGATTTTTTTTTTTTTAATCAGAGATTTTAGAGAATTATTTTTATTGACAAAATAACCTTAAAAATATTCTTAAAATCTCAATAAGAGATTTAGTAGGTTAATTCTAATACTATAAATCTTCTAGAAAAAAGCACAAATGATGGATGCATCACATTGTAATATTTGTTCATTTGGTTCGGTTTTACGTGGATTTATTTTGATTATTCGATATACGAGAAAGAGCTACTCTTCAGTGTCATTTAGACATGTTTTACTCGTATTAAATATTCTCTAATTCATTATTAATATTAATTTAATAATATTGTTTCAATTTTTACTGTAGAAAATACTCAAAAGAGATAATAAGAGCAGAAAAGCTTATAAAGCTAGAAGAAAACACAATTTTAAAGAGCCTGTATGGTGGTGTTGACCAAAAAGAAAAAAAAAAGAAAAAAAGGATTTTATTGGTACACTGTACACAATATAATTAGATAATTATTTATGCGTCGACAAAAAAAAAAAAAAAGATAATTCTCGCTGGACTGTATACACAACCACCATCAACAGTAACAAAGAGATTATTATTATGCAGCAATTGCCATCGTCTTCTTCCATTTTCCTCTGCAATCCTCACTTTTCCCCTCTCCCTCTCACGACTAAATGCAGCTTACTCTTTTTCATTTCCTGCTAATTTGAGTAATTTCCTTCTTAGCTCCCATTTTGCTATGAAGCTCTCGCGCCTACTCCCACGAATTGTCCTGTCGGTGAGTTTCGCGCCTTCGCTGGATCGAGTTTTATCTATGATTCGGACCTTTTCTGTTTTTTTTTTTTGCATGATATAGATTCTGGGCTCGTTAAGGTTTCTTCTTCCTTTAGGTCCTTGGGCGTGTATGTTCATTTTGATTGTGATTTTCAAATTTGAAGGTCAAATTCTACAGGTTACTCAACATTTAGGGTTTATGAAACGCAATTTGGGTTTATTCCTTTGGATGATTTTCTCTATTTATTTTTATTGGCCTGTTTCACCATTTGAGATCGCTTGTAATCTGCATAAATATGGCATTTTGATTTATATTATTTCTACAAGTGTCCACATTATTGAAGTCTTTTTTTCGTTGTGACAGAGCTGAGAAGGATACGAGTGGGTGTTTTCTTCAATACAAGGGAGAATTGCTAAAAGCTATGACTTTGGGTGGTTGGGGTCACAGATTCATCCAAGCAGCGTCTTCTGAATCCGAAGATTCTGCTTTAGATTTGGAGAGAAACCATCACTGCAATCACGTGAGTCTTCCATCATCTTCAAGCCCATCTCCTCTTCAGCCATTCACACTCAACATCCAGCACGCAGAGAGCAATGCCCCTTACTTCTCGTGGCCTACTCTCAGCCGGCTCAACGATGCTGTAGAGGACCGAGCAAACTACTTTGGAAACCTCCAGAAAGGGGTTCTTCCAGAGATTGTTGGGAGGTTGCCATCAGGACAACAAGCCACCACCTTGCTTGAGCTCATGACAATCAGAGCTTTTCATAGCAAAATCCTGCGCCGTTTCAGTCTTGGTACTGCGGTTGGCTTCCGGATCAGCCGTGGTGTACTGACGAACATCCCAGCAATACTTGTCTTTGTCGCTAGGAAAGTCCATAGGCAATGGCTAAATCCAATGCAGTGCCTTCCTTCCGCTCTCGAGGTTTCGTTTTCTTGTATTACTCCATTCCATTCCACACACAGCCCTTCAGAATTTTTATCAGAAACATATCTTCAAAATGATAAGTGATGTTTTTCGTTTCATAATAGGGTCCCGGAGGGGTATGGTGCGATGTAGATGTTGTGGAATTCCAATATTACGGTGCTCCTGCTGCAACGCCAAAAGAACAGGTTTATAATGAACTTGTAGATGGCTTGCGAGGAAGTGATCCCTGCATTGGCTCTGGTTCTCAGGTACATCCTTTTCTTTTTCTCCTTCTCCCTCCGGCAAACCGTGACTGTAAAGTCTCAGTTTTGATCCGTGTCTGCGTAGGTTGCTAGCCAAGAAACGTATGGAACTTTAGGAGCTATTGTGAAAAGCAGAACAGGCAACCATCAGGTTGGTTTCCTTACTAATCGGCATGTCGCAGTTGATTTGGATTATCCAAGTCAGAAAATGTTTCATCCTTTACCTCCAAGCCTTGGACCGGGTGTCTACCTCGGTGCTGTTGAGAGAGCAACATCGTTTATCACAGATGACCAGTGGTACGGCATATTTGCTGGCACAAATCCAGGTATTCCAGTTACAGTTTTATTGAAAATCTCTGCATCGTTCTGTTCAGGAACCGGCATATCTGGAAACTCTTGTTTCATACTGACTGTACATGTGATCTTTCATATTTATCCCAATGCAGAAACATTTGTGAGAGCAGACGGTGCCTTTATTCCTTTTGCAGAAGATTTCAACACGAGCAATGTAACCACAGTGATAAAGGGCATAGGTGAGATAGGCAATGTTCACGTTATAGACTTGCAATCCCCGATTGATAGCCTAATTGGGAAACAAGTTGTTAAAGTTGGAAGAAGCTCTGGATATACCACCGGAACCATAATGGCTTACGCTTTGGAATACAACGACGAGAAAGGGATCTGTTTCCTCACGGATTTTCTGGTCATTGGTGAAAACCAGCAAACTTTTGACCTTGAAGGTGACAGTGGAAGCCTTATACTCTTAACAAGTCCTAATGGTCAGAAGCCACGACCAGTTGGGATCATTTGGGGCGGAACAGCCAACCGAGGAAGACTGAAACTAATAGCCGGTCAAGAACCCGAGAACTGGACAAGCGGAGTCGATCTTGGTCGGCTTTTAGATCTCTTGGAGCTCGATCTCATCACATCTAACCATGAGCTTGAAGGTTTAGTACTCTTTTCCTATCTCTTCCTTGAGTTTCACTAGAGTCGTTTCTATATTTGTTATGCCTAAAATTCTTTTGGTTTTGTATAATTGCAGCAGCTGCCAGAGAACAGGGAAACACTTCGGTTACAGGCCTTGATTCAACCGTTAGCCAGTCATCCCCGCCTGATCCGGTTCCCTCAGGAGACAGACAAGATGAGAGCCTCGAGCCATTTATTCCACCTGAGTTTCGCATAGAAGAAGTTATTAAACCAACACCTGAAGTAGAGGAACATTTGTTCATTGCTCCTTTATCAGTGAACGAGTCTACTTCTTCTGCTAGTAAAGGGCAAGAGAAACCGAAAGTTGATGATCTTGTCGCTTTGAAGAACAGTTCCGAAGAAGAAGAGGTTAACGTATCTTTGCATCTAGGTGAGCCCAAACTAAAGAAACCAAAGTGTTTTTAGCTGAAGCCGAGCCTCAGGTGTAAGGACCAACAGGGAATATTACTGGAGGAGTAAAACGGGAATTGATCCTATTTATTAGTTCCCGGTTAAGTTTGGTTTGATGGCGATTTGATCAAACCCCACAAATATTATGTCGTTATTGTGCATAGAATTATTATTATTCTTTCCGGACGAAATTAAAATTCGAAGACGGCTAGCAAAAGTGCATAAGCTTAAGTTTTATACAAATTAAAGGTAATTATATTACAATATTACCCAAATGGGACACTAAACCGGGAATTTATGAGTTTTGATTTCCGGTTTGGCCAAATGGAAAACAATTCGCGATTCTGGAGAAAGAGTGTTGGTTAAAAGCCAAAAGGAGTGAATCAATTTTCCGTAGGAAGGAAAGGTTTGTCTTTTTCATAAGGGAGATGGGAAGAGATGCTAAAGACAAAGGGTCCATCTCAATTTTAATTAATTTACGATCCAACTATAATTAAAAATTTGTATATATTTATATTAATTAAGCCTACAAAACACCAAGTTGGAAAGAGGAAAAAAAATCGAAAATTTTCAAAAAGAAGCAAATGAGATATTATTTATTACTAGATGAATATTCACGTGTACACGTGGGTGTTTTGTTTTTTTAATATATATTATGAAATTACATTTTTCTACAAAATTAACCTATTTTTTATTTTTGATAATATAAATATTATCCAAATTTGTAAAAATATAGTCATTAAATGTGATTTTTGTTTTAATATAATTTATTAATAGATATTTTTCTATAAGTTTATATATTCTAATTTTTTGTATTTGGTAATCTGAATATCATATGAACTCGTAAAAATGTAGTCATTATTTTTTGTAGATGTAATACTTATTATTTTTGCACCCAACCAAAATTTTTTTCATTATTACTCTCAACCTATTTTTTTTGTTTGTTAGTTAATTTTTAATGATAAAAATATGTATTTTGTAAGACAAATTTAATATCTTCACCAAATTATATTTTTAATGTATTTTCATCATTCAGAGATATGTTTCCGCATATATTTTTTGTTAAAGATTAAAGCAGAGAGAGTGAGAGTGGAAAAATACGATATGTAGTTAAGCAACCTGATATGCTATATCCCAAACTGACCTTATTAATGGTTTTTCAGCTTATGTCTAATCACTACAAATAGGAAGAGCTTTAGGAAGATGGTCATTGTCGAGAGACTTGGTGGCTTAGAAGTAAAGAGCAAGTATTGAAATTAAATGAAATTAAACCCTACAAATTCGTCCTGTTCACAGTCTATATTACAGGTTTATTTGAAGAATTAAGTCCTTTAAAAAAAATTCCGCATTCCTTCCATTGCAAACATGTCTTGGATATCATAGATGAATATCAGAAGCCTACTAAAATAGATGAGACACAAGCCAATCAGGCAACCAAAGGATAATGACATCAACTTTTTGCCCATATCTATGACACTTTTGTCTCAAACTCCACCCTCAAACTTCCCTTCTTGACGAAAACTTATAGCTACCATCTCATATTTAATATTATAACTGAAACTTCAAATCATACATTGAATAATAAAGAAAGCGACTTTCAACCAAAATTCAAAATAAATTTCATTAGAATTTAGAATTTCAAGAGCTGACCTTGAAGTTTTGTCATTGATTTGCTTAAACAATACAGCTCATTTTCTTGTCTTCTTTGACTAATCAATCAAAATTAAAAAAAAAAAAAAACAATGAACATAACTTGAACCTAATCGTTTGAGATTAGTTTAATTTTTTTGAGATGAGCTTTTTCTTAACAATCAGTGGCAAATTCCCAACGGGAACAGTTATAAGAGCTTACTCTCTACTTCGAATCCTCCCTTCAAAACCATCTTATCCTCTACTTTCTGTCTCGTCTCACCAAGTGTCTTCTCCATGTTGTCGTACTTCTTCTTTGTGCTCAAACAGTGTTGTGTTCTTCTTTGTTTTTGTTGATTTCTGTCTGAGACTTCAAATCTCAACCCTTTGTCCTGGTGGTAGTGTTGTCATCGGTGGGTATGTCTTTATATAAAGAAAATGGATCAATGTCTACGTAAACAAAACCAGAATGAATTCAATACAAGAGATATAATGCAGCTCTCAAAAACCCATAAATCAAAGAGGAGACGTAGAATAAAAAATCTAACCTATTGACTTGTGGAATTTTGAGTCGATATTAGAAAGCATTGAAGATTGTTTGAAATTTCATCTTTCCAACTTACAAAATGAAAATTAATTTGCAATTCACTATGAATCATAAATTAATATGCACTTATTTTTTGGTTTCTGTGTTCAATTAAAAAATAAATTAATATAATTTAATTATTTAATTCTCTTATAATTGTTTTTTAATTTGATGTATTAAAAAAATAAATACTGATGTGTCAAACTTGTGAGACTCAATTGAGTCTTTATATAATAGATTGTTTTCTACCTATTTTTACTTGAACCGGACCATAAATAGAAGGGGAAACAGCTAAAGGGTGGTGACGAAAGTGACTTGGCTACCGACGATAATTTATGGAAATAGTAGATGCTAAACCTCGATTCTTTTGATCATATCAAAAAGAAAAATTACTAAAACTTGTGCATAGCAATATAGCATAGTTTAAAAGTCAGTCATAGGGATATCAGATTTTGTAAATATTTTAAATATTTTATTGATTTAGTAACTTATCAGATGGGTTTCTCTTTCCCAACTGTATTAAAATTTTATTTAATCATATATTTATGTTAATGCTTTACTCTGTTTTCTAGGTTACATTCGAAACATTTCACTTTCTTTTTAAGAGATAATTTTGAAATTTCTTAGTTCTGTGCATCAGAGAGAGCATTTCACTTTTTGAAATCGGGTTTCATAATAATTTATGCAATAATGGTTTTACAACTTTTCATTAGCTTTTACGAATAAGTTTTGACAAGAAATCATTAGGGATAAAACATGCTTTTGGTGAAGTGGGCTCTCCAGTCTAACTCTAACAGTGCCACCAATCAAGCTCAAAAGTTGTACTTAACCGACAGCCTCTTTGATTTACATGTTTTTATTTATAAGGTAATTTTGATATACATGGCCTTGTAAAATCATATACACTTCTTTATGTCATTTCTATTTATTCAGATGCAAATTATAAGGTTTGTGGATCCTTTTACCTTCACAATTTTCAGTTGACTAAAACTTAAATTACCAATTGAGAAATTACTTTACAAAGAAGTTTCACAAAATTTTATAACACCACTCCCTATAAAACGACCTTCCAACGTTTCTAGTTTCTACTTACCAAATCATAGAAAGCAAAAAACCAACGAGATGATCTCTCTCATTTATTTCTTCTTCTTCCTCTCACTCTCTCTCACATCCAATGGACAATTCTTCGACGAGAGCAAGAACTACGAAGGCTCCTCCGATCTCGTCAACCTTCAATACCACATGGGTCCGGTCATATCCTCGCCGGCTACAAGTCTCTACATCATATGGTACGGTCGATGGAACCCAACACACCAATCTACAATCCGAGACTTCCTCTACTCCGTCTCTTCACCAACACCGATTCAGTACCCGTCAGTGTCCGACTGGTGGAAGACAGTGAGGCTATACAGAGACCAGACAGGTTCCAACATCACAGAAACTCTTGTCTTGTCCGGAGAGTTCCACGACTCAACCTATTCCCATGGATCTCACCTTACTCGCTTCTCTGTTCAGTCTATCATCAAAACTGCCGTGACCTCCAAGCTACCACTAAACGGACTCAACGGCTTGTACTTGGTCTTAACCTCAGATGATGTAGAGATGCAAGAGTTCTGCAGAGCGATTTGCGGCTTTCATTACTTCACTTTCCCAAGCATAGTTGGTGCAACAGTACCGTACGTTTGGGTTGGGAACAGTAAGAAACAGTGTCCAGAGATGTGTGCTTACCCGTTTGCGCAGCCTAAGCCGTTTCCAGGGAGCGGGTTTGTGACCAGAGAGAAAATGAAACCGCCAAACGGAGAGGCAGCGATCGATGGGATGATCAGTGTGATAGCTCATGAGCTAGCGGAAGTGTCGAGTAACCCAATGTTGAACGGATGGTATGGAGGAGAGGATGCGATGGCACCGACTGAGATTGCGGATTTGTGTTTAGGAGTGTATGGGTCAGGAGGAGGAGGAGGGTACATGGGGAGTGTGTATAAGGATAGGTGGAGGAATGTGTATAATGTGAATGGGGTTAAAGGAAGAAAGTATCTGATTCAATGGGTTTGGGATCTCACTAGGAACAGATGTTTTGGACCTAACGCTATGAATTAGAGACGATAATGTATGTTTGTTTACCATTCTTCACAAAAAGCCTTGAACTTGAAAGCTTAAGGAAACCTGTATATGGTTTTTATCTTTTGCCTTAAGAACTCGAAACTTTGCATTCGTCAGTTTAAAACTGTACAAGGAATTTAGCTGTCTAGTTTCACTTTAACAAAGTTTGTGAACCAAACTCATGCTTTTGACATCAGCATTAAACTCCCCAACTACCTCAAACTGTGCTTCTACCAAAAAATGATTAAGAAGACAGATACACTTACACCACCAAAATTACCGCCTTCGTATTAGGAGGAAACTAAAAGACACAAAAGCCAGGGAACGACCCGCAACTTCAACTGTAAAAACATATACTTGAAGAGGCCCTGCTCTGTCCTCTAGTGTTTCCAACTCCATTGAGTGGTTACTGATCACTACGTCCATGGAGGTCATGGAAGGGGACTTCCTTAGCTGACTGTGAGGCCAAGACATTTTCAATAGGATTACCGTTGTTTCCTCTATCCTTTTCCGAGTCATCTTCAATGAGTTTCGGCCTCAGCAGCTTCCTTTTCTTGTTTTGAGGAGCTGAATGTTCAGGGCTCTCTTTACACCCTTGTGTTGGATTTTCACGGCTCTTTTTGCTACGCCGCCTAAAATCAATGAACGGTCGTTTTTGAGCACTATGTTCCATACTTTCTTCACAATCCAACAGGTCATCTGGGGTGGTCTCACTAAAAGGAAGAATCAAATCAGTGTCAAGTACCTCTGGTGTATGAATCTTTTTGTTTTTCTTCTTCGGTTTTCTAAGAACCTCATGGTTACTCATCTTTGGTCTTTTTTGCTCCATCCAATGTTTGTGACAGTCTTTTAGAAAGGCCATGACCTCATCGACTGATTCAGTGTCCGAAGAAGTATCCTCTTTCTGGTTCTCTTTTGAAGGCATAGCAAGCCTACTGAAGACGCTCTTTCTGGTTCTCTTTCTCTCAAATTCAGCAGGATTAACAAGTTCCTCCTTTCGAATCACTATGTCCTGAGTTCTGTTCTCTGGATACAAGTCAACTCCATCCCCTGACCTTGAAGGATATGAAAAAGAAGGGTAAATTCTGGAGTCATGAACCACCATATCATTTGAATAAGAAGCATGACCTTCAAATCCTTCCTGGTGTTGATATGCTGAAATTTCATTGTTAACTCCGTACTTAGGAGACAAATCCCCTGATGATAAAGGATTAGCAAAGGAAGGGAAGATGCTGCGGCTGGAGTAAGACAGCCTCTCAGAGTTCCGCATGCTCTCAGTGGCTTCTGCAGAGGTTAAGAAAGCAGGAAACTGAGAATGACGCAGATGACCATATCTAGATTCAGATTCAGAACAAGCAACTCCATTAATGCCAGAGTTAGTTTGGTATTCAGGATGTTCAATAGGCATTGGAATATAGTAATCCAAGCCCAGACTACTAGTCTTGTTCATGTTTGTATCATTATGCTCATCAGGAAATGGTTGAAATGTCTCAGAGGGCAAGGTGTCACTGACATAACCACCAACAGGTGTAATTTCTTCTCTCATAACACGATTTGACTTGGGTATAAAAGAAGCTGAGCCCATTGAATCAACATTTGGTGCACCATGATCATGCCTAGAGCTTTCCATAGTTGCATATCCCATGATCCCCGGCTCACAAGGGTCATAGCATCCAGTGTTTGTTCCATATAGTGATTCTGGAGGTACTGAGCTTTGAGCAGGAACCACTGGATCTGCCTCAATATTAAGGCGTTCCTCGTGATTAGACCACGAACTTGCCTGTGTGATACTAGCTTTTCCATGGTACTCATTTCCTAACCAGCCACTTGCGGTGTGTCTTAAGTTCTTCGGGACTCTTGGATCATTAACTAGAATATAGTCAGAGTAAGTCAAAGCATCTGTCCTAGAGCTATTATTCATGCTCAAGTCATATCCCACTCTATCCTTTGACACATGCATTTTGGGATCAACGAGTCTCCTGCAAACCTCAGATGCGTCTCCAGAGTACTCATTCTCTTTAATTTCTACGCCAATATCAGCTTCATCCGCCAAACCATAATTTTCAGTTAACCTACGACCAAGACGATCTCTTGCAGATGTACCTCGGAGGGGAAACTCACGAACAGCATCTTTATCAGTTTCTTCTGGACAACGATTCCTAAGGCCGCGATCACCAGCTGTATTTCTCAAGCTACTTTCAGAATTTTTTGTGGACTTTGTAACCGCAGTTTTCCTCGGTCGTGGTCTCTCTACCTTCTTAGAGCTAAACAACTTCAATAGCCTTTGGACCTATAATTAACATTGTCAAACATAGTGTATCAGACTACATAGGAAAGTAAAGCAATACGCATAACATAGGCTAAACAAGGAAAAGTGGAGGAAATAACCATAATAATTCACCAGTGTTTAGATTTTACAGGAGAAAACTAACCACACACCTGTGCCTTTGAGAGCCCAAAATTGAACTTTGTTGGCGTAAAGTAATTATCACTAATAGCATGACGAAACTCCCTTTCACAAAGTGGCCTACAATGCCACTTCTCAGTAAACTTGACCTAAGAAAATGGGATCAAGACAAAAACAATGTTGGCCACAAAACTTGGTAAAAGCAAAAACTCGAGGAGTTAAAAAAAAATAGAGCATCCAAGGAACCTGAGCAGGAAACTGTTTCCCAGAAGAGCAGAATGCATTGGGCTCAATGTTTATTGCACCATCAGAGCATGCCTGAAACACACCATGTAGCTCCCTACTCTCGAATTCAAACAAAAACAATAGCATTCCAGCTTTGACCTGTTTTACAAATCCGCCTAGCGCAATTGGCAAACCGAAAAGGCCTCGCTTGAGGCACTCCTTTCTTGTTGAGCTATTGGACATGAAAATCGCACCATACTCTGGCTCTTGTCCAGAAGCAGAAGCAGAAGCACCATTGGATTCCATCATCCTCCGATATTTTGGCATGCTGTCTCAGAAAACTAAAATAACAACACAACTAATTTTCCTCCATTTACCGAATAGAGAAGGTACTAGAAATCAGGAGACTTGTGAAGCCAATACAGCAAGATAGATGAGCAGAAAAAAAAAACTTTTTCCACAAGATAATCATTAAAAGCTAAGAAAACTTGTGTTGATCTACGAATTTCAACTAGTATAGTTAAAACACATGATTAACATATAGCAAAATCACTTCTCGAAAAGAAAAAATGTGGATAAATCCGTCTGAAAATTCATGGCCAAAGATCACAAGCAACTTGACAATCTAATGTAATTCTAAAATAAATAGCACTACTTACTGACGCAATTGAATATTCACACATAAATGAAAGCTGACATAACTCTGTCTCTCTCAAGCATATTTACGATTACGGATAATCAAACAATCAGGCATTGAGAACGATAACTCAATGAAAGCTAAAGGAAGATTTCAGAAAAGCAATGCAGAAAGACAATGTTACCAAATTACCAATGATGGTAAAGATTAAGACCTGGAGGAGATCACGGCTTCGAGTTCCTGGTTTAAAATCGACGTCTACCAAAAAACAGAAAAAAAAAAAACATGCAAAACCAATAAACGAGCTCGAAAATATCGATTGAAATCAAAACCGCATGAACAGAGAAGAAGATTAGGAATTATAGTGAGATTTCGCGATTAGGGTTTTTTCAGTAATATCGGAAGAAAAGAAAAGGAAACGGCGAGGGTGCGGAGATCGAAGCAAACCTGATATTTTGGCAAAATTCAAGAGCGAGTGGGATTTTTCCCGTTTCCATATCTTTCGGCTATATATAATAAATATTCCGGGAAATAGCAAACAAAATATCATCCTCCTACTTTTTGGCCCAAATAAGATCTTCATGTCGTTTTGGGTTTTTCTTTATAAATAAATTGAATAACACAAGTTTTCCAAACCAAAAATTTCCCTTTATTTGATTGTTTTTCAAATTATAGAAAGAAAGAAAAAAAAAAGAAGCAAGGAGACAAATGAAGCTTGCAGACCTTTTAGAGGCCTCAGCCTCTAGTTAACGGATACTCTCCTTTCGACTCGTTATCCTCCTCCTTTTACATCTTTACACCGTTGAAGAAGACGGAGAAGAGTTGGAAAATTGCAGATAATAATATACATATCTCTCCATTCCATCTCTCTGGTCATGTAAGAAGAATCCACTCTCTCACTCTGCTTTCTCAGTTTGTTTGTGCCACTTGATGTTACCCTTTTATCTCTTCTTCTTCGGATTTCTTCTGATAGCTCCGTCTCCATCCTTCATGTTTCCCGCTTTTTCTTTTTACAAAAACGAGTCAAAAGTGATTTTTTGTACATTAACTAGTGCTTTTGTGAATCGGCTTTAAACGTTGCCTTCTTCTCTCTAATGGATTATCTGTGTCAATTTAGTTCATTTTTCTGCTGGTTGTTGTTATGGTTTTTGGTGAAACAAAGTTTGAGAATTGGGGTTTTAAACTAAATGAAAGTTCTCAACTTTTCCATGAACTTGGGTTTTGATTGACAGGTTGGTTGCTGGAAACGCTTTGAATTGCTTATTCATAGATCCCAGTGGCTTCCACAGATATTTGGGTTTTAGAGTGACACATTTCACTAGCGGGACTGTAAAATGCTGTAAAAAGGAAGGGTTTTTCATAGATGAACGAGGGAAATTAAAAAGATTTAACAGGAAGAAACTCTCGAGGAGACGATGTAAGACTCATTTCAGGATCAGTTTCTTTTGAACTTCTGTGAGATTTTAAGCTTGTAAGTCTATGTTTTGAATTGCGATTAATATTTGGTTTTTGGTTTTTCATATGTAAAGGTGGATCTTTGAGGGGGAGAGGGTGGAAATATGGATCCGGGTTTGTCGATGGGATTTTCCCTGTTCTGAGTCCCATTGCTCAGAAGATTCTGAGCTTTATTCAGAAAGAAACTGATCCTGAAAAAGTAGCAGATGTCCTCGGGACTCTTCCTTCTACGCATGCTTCATGGGATGATCTCATCAATGTTGCTGTGCAACTTCGTTTGAACAAGAAATGGGATTTCATTATCCTGGTTAGCTTTCTTGGAATTCTGTTTCAGTTTTTGACTCGATCTTGTACCCTACAATTCTTGCCTTGAGAAAAGAATTTTGGACATCATGATCATTGAAGCTACGATCTTGTCTTAGGTGTGTGAGTGGATTTTAAGGAGGAGCTCTTTTCAGCCTGATGTAATCTGCTTCAATTTGCTTATAGATGCTTATGGACAGAAGTTCCGGTACAAGGAGGCGGAATCACTCTATGTACAACTTCTTGAATCTCGCTGCGTGCCTACGGAAGACACGTACGCTCTTCTTATAAAGGCCTACTGTTTGGCCGGGCTCATAGAGAAAGCCGAAGCCGTTTTAATCGAGATGCAAAAGCATCATGTTACTCCAAGTATGTCTCTGCATCTCCTAAGCTCTTATACGTATTGGTTCCAAACATTGGCAGTCATTGTTATAGAATTTTCTTGTTTTGAGAGACTCCAGATAAAGAAATTCTACTAGTTTTCGATCTAATCTTGTGCTTTTATAGGTGCTACTGTATACAATGCATATATTGAGGGGTTGATGAAGAGGAAAGGAAACATCGAAGAAGCAATCGATGTTTTCCAGAGGATGAAGCGTGATAGATGCAAACCAACCACTGAAACATACAACTTGATGATAAATCTATACGGAAAGGTCGTTTGATATGAACATACAATAGTAGTTTCCACAAATTTAGGTCTTGAGAAAAGTGAATGTTCATGTCATAGGGTTTTCTTGCAGGCAAGTAAATCATACATGTCCTGGAAGCTGTTTTGTGAAATGGGAAGCCACCAATGTAAACGCAACATCTGCTCATACACTGCGCTCGTGAATGCATTTGCTAGAGAAGGTCTTTGCGAGAAAGCTGAGGAAATATTTGAGCAGCTTCAAGAAGATGGGCTTGAACCTGATGTATATGTCTATAACGCTCTCATGGAGGCGTATAGGTGATTGATTACTAAACCTATATTACTCTCCTATAGAGACTGCTTCCAAGAAACCATAAAAGCTTAAACTTAACGTTCTCAAAATCCTGAGACAGTCGTGCAGGTTATCCTTATGGTGCTGCTGAGATTTTCTCTCTGATGCAACATATGGGAATCGAACCAGACAGAGCATCCTACAATATCATGGTTGATGCTTATGGTAGAGCAGGGCTTCACTCAGGTAAAACAGAGAAACTATCTTTAGCATTACGTAAATTCTCTCTTTTTATATATGTGGGTGAAACAGATGCAGAAGCTGTGTTTGAACAAATGAAGAAGCTTGGCATAATACCGACGATGAAATCCCACATGCTGCTTCTATCGGCTTACTCCAGAGCAAGAGACGTAACAAAATGCGAAGCCATTGTGAAAGAGATGAGCGAAAACGGAGTAGAACCAGACACATTTGTCATAAACAGCATGCTCAACTTGTACGGCCGGTTAGGACAATTCACTAAGATGGAAAAGATTCTGGCCGAGATGGAGAACGGTTCTTGCAACGCGGATATAAGCACCTACAACATCTTGATCAATGTCTATGGTAAAGCCGGGTTCTTGGATAGAGTTGAAGAGCTTTTTGGTGAGCTCAAGGAGAGGAATTTCAGACCTGACGTTGTGACATGGACTTCGAGGATCGGTGCTTACTCGAGGAAGAAACTGTATGTGAAATGTCTGGAGATTTTTGAGGAGATGATTGATTCGGGGTGTGCACCAGATGGAGGAACAGCTAAGGTTCTTCTTTCGGCTTGTTGTAGTGAGGATCAAGTGGAACAAGTTACTTCTGTGCTTAGGACAATGCATAAGGGTGTGTCTGTGAGTTCTCTTGTCCCAGAGCTAATGGCTAAATCCTTACCTGTGGGTTCTTAGTAAAATTTGGATTTTTGATATCAGAATGTACATTATTCATGTTATCTAGTAAATGGTCTAATGTCATAATCCTTAAAATGTTGCTTTAGTGGGTGGTTGAATAGAAATTGGTCCACGAGCATAATCATTCAGAAAGTGATATTTTATGGAAAAACTGGATTTGTTTATTAATTATAAGGAAAAAAAAGCAAACCCACCAAACCCTTTTGTCGAAAGAATATATTAATAAGCCGATCGGTGAGTGCACTCTCTGTCACTGTTGTTGTGTATCGGCGTTTTCTCTGAGCTTCGAGATCTCCACGAAAAAATGGCTGCTAGATTCTTGTTGGCTTCTAGGGTTGCTTCCTATCTAAGGATCTCCGTTGCCCAACGAGGGTTTTCCTCGGGTGAATCTCAATCTCTGTTAATTTGTTGATTGATTTCTCTTTGTTTGATCTCTTCGGTTTTTTCTCTCTGATTGTTGAATCTATTTGAATAACATTGGTTTTTGGTTGTTCATGATGATCGGATTATAAGCGGGCTTTCAAATTATTGTTTTTGCAAATCCTTTTTTTTGTTGGATCGATTGTATATCGCTAATACCTTCGATTTCTCCATTTTCTTATCAATCCCAGAAATTTGCATTCGATTCCTCGAGGCTCTGTTAATAATAATCATCTTAACAGTGTTCATAAACTTGAAGGTAGTGAAGTTCATGTTGTTTGCATTTTCTCCCGTTTTATACTTATCATTTGCACGACTACATGCTTTTAGTTTTGTGTGATTTTTTTTTTCTTTTTTTGTTGGTTTGCTTTGTAAAATCAGTATCTTTTCATTGTAGATTTAGGTAAGATTCTGGAATCTGCCTGATAAGTCAATGGTTTTGTTGTGGAACTATGTAACTTTTTTTTTATTGTTCTCGTGTTGGAATGTCGAATATTTTGCCATTTAACCTTACTAGGTTATACTCTTCCTTTACGCTTGTGTTTATATAGTGGTCTTGAAGGATCTGAAATATGCTGATTCACATGAATGGGTGAAGATTGAGGGGAAAAAAGCGACCTTTGGTATAACGGATCACGCACAGGACCATTTGGGTGATGTGGTCTATGTTGAATTACCTGATATGGGACATTCGGTGTCACAAGGTGAGAGTTTTGGAGCGGTCGAAAGCGTGAAAGCCACTAGTGATATCTTTTCTCCAATCTCTGGCAAGGTGGTTGAAGTAAATGAGGAGCTTACCGAGTCCCCTGGATTGGTGAGTTCTCTCTTTTGAAAACTCATATTAGAGCATTGATCCCTTTGTTAATTTGAGATAAAACTCTTTTTGAACAACTGCATCATGACCAAATCCGAAATCTTGTTGCTGGTCTCATTTGATTTTTATGCAAATTGCTAGCAACAAATTCACTCCTCGGGTGACATTCGTTGCTTACTCATTCGATTATTCGACGGTTTTATTTAATGTAAATGTCTTCTTGATTCACGGAGGATGAATGTATAGATTATAATTGCTTCCTCACTGGATTCTTCTACAGTTCTTTCTAGCTTATGAAAATGAAAAGTCTGAAACTTTGAGAATCTTGATTCACGGGTAAACCAGTATAGATTTTGCTTATTTGTTTGATTCATCGACAGGAATTGCTTACATGATGTAAAACATCATAAATTTTGGGGATTCTTGTGATTCCGTGGTCTGGAGCTGAGATTCTTTTGTTGGATTCACAGGTGAACTCGAGCCCGTATGATAAAGGATGGCTTATAAAGGTGGAGGTGAGTGATGCAGGTGAGGCACAGAAGCTGATGGATTCAGAGAAATACTCCAAGTTCTGCGAGGAAGAAGACGCCAAGCACTGAGCTTAGTTTATATTCCAGTTCTTTCTAGAAGCTTCCACTGCTACACAGATTGTTGTCTTCTCTTCTCTTCTCAAACGAGGATCAAGACGAAATCTCGATCTGTGTCAATGGATAAATCAATAAAATTCTGAAGATTTCGATGCCTGGTTCCTTTCTTTCATGTCCTTTTTTCTCTTTTAAATTAAATTGTTTGAACAATAGTAGAGAATAATAGCTTTGGGGTTTACATTGGTTTTTATATCTTTCAAAGAGTTAAGAGTTGTTGCCTCTTTGTTTCTCATTTGGCCTCGTTACTTAGTTGAACAACATAATCAGTTATAGGTACTAATATATAGAACCAATTCCTGAATGATTTGATTCCCTCCTTGTTTACGAGATTGATTAAACGAGTTTTGATGTAAACATAAGCTTTTTAAGTATTTACATGAGTTACATGATGATGATACCAACAATTACAGTCGTAGACCCTTCCACTCAACCATTGAGATTCAGGAAATAATTGCTCAGATGAACAAAAAAAAGAAAGAAATGATCCAGCTAAAGAGACAAATAACTTATATCTTTCAACAAAGGGACAAGAATCTAATGGAATACTCGTACAAACAAAAGATATATAGGTGCAGATATTGTAGCAATTGTATGAAACTGTGTTTTTTTGTTATTTTCCGGTTCAGATATAAACCTCAACCGTTAAATGTGAAAGGAGACAAAAATCTGTGATGCAATGATATGTGCACAGTGAGTAAAAGATTTTGGAATCATTGTTGCTTATTGTGGAAGCCAAGCTTGTTAGCCTCAATTGTCCAACAAAGCTACAAAATGTGCCTTGTAATACAAGATTCTTGCGCTGTCAACCCTAATTATTATTTTCTTTTTTTTCTTTACTTTTGAATTTTAAGTATTCTTATTATTTCTGTATAAAAAAATATTCATACGTTATTTTCTTTCTGTTTGTGTGTGTGTGTATCATATTTGCTACGAAGACAAAGTAACTTAATACGTTGATGGTAAAGAAATAATGTTTTACGCATTTTGAAAGATATCATCCATCGATATAAATATGATTTTACCATGTATATATCACCATATTATACATTCAAAACGTTTAAAAATTTGTATAAATCGATTCTCTATAATGTATTAGAAAACTACAATCTGATTTAAACCAACACCAATATTTCATTTTATCGTTTATTCATTCAATATAATGATATATAAATGGTACTGAATTTAATAAAACACTGTAGTGAATTTCTCCAAACAAATAATTATATTGAAAAACAAACAAAAACATGGAATGCTTGGGTAATGGTGACCCCGACCGGTATTTGAAGAGCGACTGAATCGCCACGATGACATCACCAGAAACGTCAGATACATTAATCATTAGTAAAACCATACTGTTTAACACAGTAATTCAAGAATAATTGACCATTATTACACCTAAAAGCTGATATGTATAGAGGTATTGATAATTACAAGTAGTATTGGTTGCCATTAATTATCTGATCTCTTGTTTTAGTGTTTATCTATTTTCTTAAATGTTAGAATTACCAGTTAAGAGACTTATCCTCATTTTTGTCAAAGCTTTGGAAATGTATATTTCAACCACCCAACCAGAGCATTTGTTGTTTTTCTAACAGAATTTCATTTTTAAAATAAAAACAAGTAAACGTTAACGTAATGGTATACAGTATACAGTATCTTCATTTTCATATTTTGGTTTATTTACCATTTGATAATATGTTTTTTGCCGTTTTGAAAATTTGAAATGCAAAGAAAATTCATTTGCCCATAATTTCTCCTGCTTACATATTCTGCTTACCTTGGCTTTTTTCTTTGTTCAACAAGTTAGATTGTTATTCTCTTTAGAAATCTTTATATTCTTTTTCGTCGTCAGAAATCTTTTAAATTTAAAGGTAAAAAAAGTTACTTTTCAAAGATTTTTAAAAATGGTTACTTTTCAAAATATACAAATTTTTTTTAGAGTATTAAATCAAATTTCCACAAATAATAATATGTGTTCTGACCAAAAAAAGGAAAAAGGTAAAATTTCTAAGCCAAAAAAAAAGAGATTGGAAAATGAAAGAAATTCTACTGACTAGCTTGTCTTAAATGAGACCCAAAATTTAGCAATTCTTTTTCGGCTCATACTCCGATTGAGGCCGGCTCTCTCTCTCTCTCTCCCTCTTCTTTCCCGTCCTCTTCCTCTTCTTCGCCGTCTTCGTCTCCGGAGAAGGTTGCAGAAACTCAGATCTGAACTCCAAGACGCAGCTACGATCTTACTGAGGCTTTTTTTTCTAATTGACTTTCGCCTTTGGAGCTTCCTCAGGTAACTTCAATCTTCACGAGACTCTTGCTTGACCTTTAGTTTTGATATAGCTCCTTGTTCAGTTTCTGAGAAAATGGCGAGGGAGACATCAATCCTGACTCATCGCTACTTTAAATTCGCTATCTTCTAAGATCAGATGCAAAAGAGCCTCACTCTAATTTTCCCTCATTTTCTCGCTGACGAGGTGTTGTTGAGAATTACTGGGTTTGTTAAATTTTTCTTCTTTTGGGAGAATTCTCTTCCCGACTTTTAAAAGCAAAATCCTTGAGTCAAGGAATTTTCTGTCCTGTTTCGAAAGAGGAATGAGCCTTGACAGTAACTTAAGTGAATTTTTTAGACGCGATTGTGTAATGTGATTCTGAAAAAGAGTTTCCCCTTATTGCAGATATTATTTCGATCATTAATGGCGAATTCTCGTCAATATTATCCTTCTCAAGACGAGTCAATGTCTCCGTCGTCTGTGAGATCAAGGGAATGGGAAGGTCCTTCCAGATGGACTGAGTACTTGGGACCTGAAATGGCTTCATCAGTGTCGTCTAGGAGCTCAAAGCATATGAGTTCTGATGGGCATGTTCAGAGTTCTGGTGGTTCCACAAAGGCTTTGAACATACAATGGGTAGTTCAAATGATTGAGGTTGCAGAGGGTATCATGGCTAAAATGTATAGACTGAACCAAATCTTGGAGTACCCAGATCCTGTTGGTCATGTATTCTCTGAAGCATTTTGGAAAGCGGGTGTGTTCCCTAATCATCCGCGGATATGTACATTGCTCTCCAAAAAGTTCCCCGAGCATTTCAGCAAACTGCAACTCGAACGTGTAAGTAATGAGTTCTTCATATTAGGCTTAATATGTGCTTTGTTTGCTGTGATGGTAACAAAAAATATGCTAACTTTTTTTTCTTTTTGCAATACTTATGCAGATTGACAAGTTTTCACTGGATAGCTTGCATGATGGTGCTGAACTTCACTTGCAGAGCTTAGAGCCATGGATACAGGTAATAAGAAACTGTCTATGCAATATGTTGTTGGATATGTTCTGTTGTACTGACAATTGTTTCTCGAAAATAGTGAAGCATCTCAGAAGTCTTACATGCTGCATAGTGCATAGTCAAGCTTCTATAATTTTGCTTTATTCTTTATATTCCGTCTCACCATGAACCAGTCTTGTATATGTGCGCACGCATGTATGATGTACATAGTACATGGTTTGAACTTTTAAAGTGTAAAAAAGTGGTTATCTGTTAGATTTCTATTTTCAGTGTGTGTGTAGAATTTTTGTAGGGATGCCTTCATTTTCCTTCCGTCACCCATTTTTTATTTTTTTAAATCAGCTGCTGCTCGATTTGATGGCATTTCGAGAACAGGCACTACGGCTTATATTGGACCTCAGCAGCACTGTAATTACCTTGCTGGTGAGTCACAGTCCCTCATCTGCGGAAAGTATTGTTTTGCTCTTGGCTAAAAGTTTGAGTTCTCTTTTGGACTCATACCTTGGGTGGAGCATGAAAAACTATTGAGTATTCATGATTAGCTCATAACTTAGTTCAGTTTTTTGCAGCCTCATCAGAACTCACTTATACTGCATGCATTTATGGATCTCTTTTGTGCATTTGTCCGAGTCAATCTTTTCGCAGAGAAGGTATGCTGAGAGCTTATTCCTTTTCCTAGTGTTCATCTGGATTTATTATCGCACATGTCAGATAAGGCATGCTCTTATTTTATTATCAATCTCTAAGAGTGTTTATTCTATCAAAGTAGATTCCTAGAAAAATGTTGCTGCAAGTGTACAACCTTCTGCATGCGCTATCAAGAAATGATCGAGACTGTGACTTTTATCACCGGTATGAATTCTTTTCTTTTTTTCCCTTGTAGTGTCATTGTTTAATTGATATATAATCAATATGGGAGTTATAATGAATTAACACTCTTCGTCTTGCATCCAGCTTGGTGCAATTCATAGACTCTTATGATCCCCCATTGAAAGGCTTACAAGAGGATTTGAACTTTGTCAGCCCAAGGATAGGAGAGGTTAATATTTCCACTTAGTTTGATTTGGTAATTATGCTTAGTAGAATTCGTTGGATTGTAAGAGTTGAGGCTGCACGTCTTATATCCAAATAAAAAAATGAAGGGGTATTACAACGAGTTAATACTGCAATTTACATCCGTACTAACAATGTAACTCATTTTCTTAGGTCCTGGAGGCCGTAGGACCCAGTATATTTCTATCTGCAGATACAAGGAAGTTGAGAAATGAGGGATTTTTAAGTCCATACCATCCTCGATTCCCAGATATACTTACAAATTCTGCTCATCCCATGGTACTTTTGAATGGCTAGATACTTATCAACTTAAATTCAAGATTCTCTGAATTAGTAGGATGCTGTAGTATTTCCCGTATAACGTTTTTCCTGATGTGTAGTGCTAATAACTGCATATATTTCACCCTATTGCTTCCTACAGAGAGCGCAGGACCTTGCAAATGTTACTTCGTACCGAGAATGGGTGCTTCTTGGATATCTAGTTTGCCCTGACGAGCTTCTTCGTGTTACTAGCATTGATATTGCCCTGGTACGAATCTGTTTTTCCTTTCATTCTCGATTGAGAGCTTGATAAAGAAGCACAAAGTTATCTTCGACGAGATTGGATTGAATTTCAATTGGCATATCCTCAAGAATTCTATATTGAAAACTAGCTGATCTGGTCAATAATACTATTTTATTAAATTTGTTTTTCAAATTAGTATTATCTGCCTCTCTTTGCCTCTGTTATTGGAATGCTTGTTTTTGGTCATCTGAATTTGATGTGCTTGTATTTGAATTGTTTATTTATTTAAAGATTAGTAGTAATGGATTTAGGATTTTTATGTACAAGACAAAAAGCTTCCATATCTTTTCAAGAGTGCGTGTAAGTCATGCTGTCTCTAAGAAATGTTT